ACAGATGAGAGGTCACCAAGTATTCCAGAGGCGCTTAGCCACCTCCAGGTGGCAGGGCGGGGTCATAGGACCTCCAGGCTGGCCGGCGCCTGCCTGCGGACCATGGGAAGGCTATGCTTGCTCGCTGGGGGCAACCCGGGCCGGACACCTGCGTGCCAGGCAAACCCACAAGACTAAGATGCACGAATAAATCTCTTAAAATTTTCTTTGGCTGTTTTTGTTAAAAGCACTATGTAAGTTTAAAAATAAATGTTCGACCTGATCATTTATGTCTTTATTTTTATTACCCTTTTATTATAAAAACATTCAGAAATGACACAAAATAAATACACAGCTTATTGAATTATTTTTTGATTATTATAAGGTGGATCCCCCGTAACCTCCACCCAGGTCAAGAAATAGAGCTTTGCAGACACCCAGAGGGACACTTCCCAAGTGCCCCTCCCTCCCTCCCAAAGGAATCCTGACTTTTGCAGAAATGGCCTCCTTCGACTCTGGCAATTCACTCTGGTCGCTTGTCCTTTTCGCTGGATGTCTGTCAGGTCTCCCATCTCCTTAATTTCCAGCCCCCGCCTCCACAGGTTGTCAGGTGAGGAACCTGGGCCATTTGTCCCCTCGTTTCCCAGTCTAATCTTTGCCCTTACGTGCTCATGGTACCGTCTAGCGTTTTCTTCTGATCTCTAATTCCTGCAGATGGGCAGCTGGATGCAGAGGCGTGATCGGAATCGGGTTCTGCACTGTGGGCCAGACAACAGGTGGCCCATGTGCTTCCACGGGGCCGTGACTGGTTCCGCCCTCCGATGTCAGTGAGCCCGGTGCGCAGTGCCTGGGCCCCTCGGTCAAGGGTGCACGGGGCTGACAGTCCCTTTGCGGTTGCACACACTGGCTGGAGCGGTTTTAGAAGGTGCTCCCCTCGTCCGGGTTGGAGTTCTTACAGGAACAGGGAAATTCCAAGGTGCTGCATTAGCTCCTTGTCATCCCTGGAAGGTGACCAGTCACGATTTTCTATTTCTATATTTTTATAACGTGTGTGTCACGAACCATGGACTTAAGCATATTTGATGGTTTGTCCACTGCAATTTGAATCGTCACTGAACCCAAACGGTATCTCGTTTGGCCTGTAGGAGGGAGCCTCTTCAGGTCGGCCTTATTTCCGTCACTGTTCCCGTGTGCCGCACGCCTGCACGCACACGCAGTGAGCATGCACACACGTCTGGACCACACAGCTCCCTTGCTGTCTGCTGTGTCAGGGAGTTCTGGAGCCATTTTGCCCATTTTCTGCTCCAGGCCTACAGTCAGCTGTTTCTCTGAGGACCTCTGGTTTCTTGTGAATATGGCCGGCGGAATCCCGTCGGGCGCTCTCTGCTCCTGGGTGGGTCATTGTTCTAGGTCTTTTCAGGGGACAGAGTTGTAGAAAACACGCACATGCCCACACGTAAGAAAGTATTTTCTGAGTTCGAGCTGACACCCCCAGTCAGGGTACGTAACCTCTCCGCGTCTGTGTCTCCCACGTGGGCAACCCTGGTTCCTAGCCGGGCGGGGGGACAGGGTGTCCCCTCCCCCGCCTGGCTCAGTGCACTTCACTGTGCCCCGTGTGGATCCTGAATCCGATGCTCCTCCCTCAGTCCCCGTGGAAGCAGCCCGGTGTTACGCTGCTGGCCACCTCAGGAAACTGCCGCCTCGTCTAGTCACGCCCTGTGTGCTCAGTGGTGCTAACCAGCCTCCGGGTCAGTGTCACCTTGGGAACCACGCTCACTGAGGCTGTAGGATTTAGTTGGTGTCCTTCATACCTGAAGATGGATTTTGCAGGGTAGGAAATCTTTGGCTCACATTTTTCCCTTTGGTGTCTGAAATATTGATTCTATTTCCTTCCAGTGTAAAGTGATGCGTGGAACGCCTCTTTCCCCAGCCAGCGGTCGTATTGGCCTGCGCTGTGCATTGGTCGCCCCGGTCAGGATTTGCAGGTAACAGGTATGCTCCTCCTCAGGGTTAGCGCGCCCGCTCTTTCAGGAACATTTTCCTGAATTGTGGTTTAGTGTTCTGTTTTTCTTGTAACAGTTGTAAGCCCGATTCCAGTGTATAGCAGGTGGGGGGGGTCCCCCGAATTCATATATCGAAGCTCTGACCCCCAGTTCCTCAGAATGTGACTATATTTGGAGATCGGGCCTTTAAAGAGGTGACTGGATGGAAACAAGGTCGTTGGGGGCCCGATCCAGTCTGACTGGTGTCCTTGTCACAGGAGATGGGGACAGGCAGAGGGTGGACCTTCGGTGGACAGAGCGAGGAGGCAGGTCTGCAAGGGGAGGGGCGTGGGCTGAGGCCTCGGAGAAACCAACCTGCGACCCCAGATCTGGGCCCAGCCTCTGGGACTGGGAGGAAAGAGGCCCCCGCGGCAGCCGGCTCTGGAGCTTCGCCGCGCGGCCCCAGGAACCAGCGCGGACTGCAGCCCACGCCGAGGGCGTCCCGGCCACCACCGGTGGCGGGATCACGGACCTGACAAATCAGGGGTGCTGGATGTGTCATCGTTCCTCATTTTTCTCGCCTAACTTGTATTCCGTGCGTAATACGAACACCCGCAAGCAGAGCAGATAGCGGAGAGCCTGGCTGCGGGCCGCGTTTCCCGGGCCTCATGGGTCTAGATCCTCGTCTCAGCTTGGGCCAGACCCAGCGGGTCCTATCTGAGGGAACCGCAGAGCCAGCAGGGAATGAAAGCCAGTGGGGAACAGGGCGGGAGCTCGGAGGAAGCCAGGCCCCCAGCAGCGAGCTGAGCCCCCTGACCCAGCGGGGAGCAGAGCAGCTCACCAGGCGCAAGCCCCCGGCCGCACCCATCCCTGGGGCCCACGGTCCCTCCCCCATTCCCTGCCCCCCGGCCGCACCCATCCCCGAGGCCCACGCCCCCCCAACCCCCGCCGCACCCATCCCCGGGGCCGTGGGCCTCCGGCTCCAGCTTCCTGGACTCGTGCAGGGTTTCGGGTCTGGAGTCCCCAGGCCCAGGCCAGCTGTCCGTTCAGCACCGGCTCAGATGTCGCACACACTGCCAACCAAGCTCTTGGCTTCGCCCCGCCCGGAAGCGGCTCCGCCCCGGTACCCTCACCTGGGCGCACCGCAACTCCGCCCTCCGGGCGCCCCATGAACCCCTGGACCATCCCTGCCCCCCAGCCCCGCCGGGCCTCGCTCCGGCTCCGTCAGCAGATCACGGTGGCCTTCACGCAAAATGGACCGGGATCTGATGGTTCCGACCACACCCACACCGGGTCCTGGCCCAAAGTCCGGTCTGCTGCAGTAGCCTCCAGCTGGTCTTGTGTCCATTCTGCCCCCTACAGGCAGAAGCTCGAGTCACGTGACTGGCCCTTGTCCAACTCCACGACACCCGGTGGCTTCGGGCGCCTGCGCGCTCTGGCCCAGCTGTCGGCCCCCCTCCCCTGCCCGTGCACCGGGCGCCAGGCCCCACCGCCTCAGGCCGCGTACTGGCTGCTCGCTGTGCTCGGCGCAGGTTTCCTCCAGCTGTTTGGGTCCCTCCGTCACCTGTCTCCCTCTGCTCGAATGTCACTTAGCGGCAAGCTCTCCTGGCTACACCCACAAGCACAGTTCAGCTTCCCTGCAACCCCATCTCTCTCAATCTCACGCACACTCACA